AACAACAACCAGGCCCGAGGCCCACAATGAATTTAAAAAGGTCCACCCATGTTTCAGGTTCCCATCGGTTCCCTGACCCCATGAAAACAACAGATGAGCCCTGGTGGCGCAGTGGTTAAACACCCTGTTACTAATGGGAAAGCCAGCGGGAGAAAGAGGTGGTAGTCTGTGCCTGTTATGATCCACAGCCTTGGACACCCAGAGGGGCAGGTCTCCTCTGTCCTACAGGGTCACCTCAGCAGCCCCAGGTTTGACTTTTTTTGCCAACTTTAGAGTGTGTTCTCTTAAGAGCTGTCCAGGAGAAATGCATTTCTCACTTTCACGAAACCCCAAAAAATCCATGAAGAAAAACAATCTGTGGCTGAAACGCCAAGTAATACCATGACTGTGTTTTAAGGAGTACCCAGGCTTTTAACATCCCGAAGGTACTGGCATTCTGACTCACAATCTTATAAAGCTGTCTAGTTAATCTTCAAAAAATGGATGAAAATGCAAAGTACCACGAACGACTGAAAATTAAATTTCAAATTTAAAAAGGAAAGATGTCTGTGATTAGTTTACCACAGATTTCAAACTTACGTGTTTTGAAAGTAAAACTGTCTGACAAGGAGTTTTACAGACCAAGCATTCGTCCTTTTTACCTGCAAAACAAAAGCAAACTGGAGTGTATTATAGCAAACAGAGCATTTAAAGGCAGCTAATTGTTAGGTGGTGTTTAGTGAAGAAAAGACCTGGCCACCTGTCCCTGTAATGACTGCACCCTGGGACACTCGATGGGGCAGTTCCTTCCTGTCCTGTAGGTCACTGTGTGGCATCAGAACCGGGGAATACAAGTGACATAATTAACATAGTTGCTGCGTACTGTCAAGTCAGAATGGACCCATAGCTGACCCTCTGGCCGGTCTTCAGTTAATCACACAGGAGGAGACTGTCCATCTCTCTCCCGTGGAGAAGACGGTGGGCTTTAATCATGTGCCTTTGGGATTGCAATGCAGCTTTCTTGCAATTAGAGTAAATTCAAATGTAAACTTAAGATTGTTTATTTCTGCCAAATGTGTATTTCTCAGAGGCTCTATGAAAAGTGTTATCTGAACCCTGTACTATCCTGGGTCATCCTCACAACTTCCGACACACTAGAACCCACTGCTGCAGTCACTGTGTCAGCCTATCTCCTTTAAAGACTTTCTCTCTTTTGCCGACCTTCCAAGCATTATGTCCCTCTCTAAGGAACAGCTCTCGCAACAACATGCCCAAAGTATGTGAGACGAAGCTTTGTCCTCTCTGCCTCCAAGAAGCTGTACTTTCTCCAAGGCATGTTTGTTTGTTTTTGGCACTGGGATCTTTCTTCAGCACTCTTCTCCAACACCACAGTTCAAGTGAACCAATTCTTCTGCTGTCCTCCTTATTCACTGTACAGTTCTCAGATTTCACAGTAAGTGAATGAAAAGACCATGGCCTCAGTCAGGCCCACCTTCGTCTTTAAACTTTTATCATTGCTCTTCAGTCATTTGGAGAGATCCCACACAGCAGACTTTCCCAATGTAAAATGTGTCCTATCTCCTGACTGCTGGTACCAAGTGTGTTAACCGTGGATCCAAGTAAGACGAAGTTGTTGACAATTTCAGTCTTTTCTCCAAATATGATGTTGCCTACCACAACAATGAGAATTTTTGTTTTCTTGACACTGAGATGCAATCCACAAGGACAACTTTTGTTGCTGTAGACCATCAGGTCAGAACTGACCCAGAGTTGACCATCCAGCAGGTTTTCAGAGACAGTAAATTGCACACAGGAGACTGTCCATTGTCCCATGGAGAAGCTGGCTCATTTGAACTGCACGCCTTTGGGACTGCAGTGCAGCTCCTTAAGGCTAGGTCTCCAGAGCTCCCAGCGAAGGCTCTAGACTTTGCTTTTCTGGGCCAAGCGCTTCAAGTCCTCCTCACTTTCAGCAAGCAAGGTTGTGTCACCTGTATAATGTAGGCTGCTGCTGAATCTTCCTCCAATCCTAGTGTCAACAGCGTACAGCTTCTTCAATGATTTGTAAAAGTATGGAGAGAGGATAAAACCGTAATACATTCATTTCTTAATTTTAAACCATATAGTGTTCTCTTGTTCTGTTCCCACCACAGCCTCTTGATTTGGGTACAGGTTTCACATGAGCACAATCAAACACTCAGGGATTTCTAGTCTTCTCAATATCAGCCATAATTTGTCTGTCAAATACCTCTGCATAGTCAATAAAAACACACACATCTTTCTGGTATTATCTCTTATCAGTGTGGATCCATCTAACATGGGCAATGATATTCCTGGTGGTGCCACAGCTACTTCTGAACCCAGCCTGAATGTCTGACAGTTCCCAATATATTGCTCTAGCCAGTTTTGTATGATTTTCAGCAATCGTTTGCTTGCATGTGATATTAATGATATTATTTGGTAATTTTCACATTCTGTTGGATCACCTTTCTTGGGAATAGGAACAAATATGGACCTCTTCCAGTCAGTTGGCCAGGCAGCTGTCCTCTAAATTTCCTGGCACAGACTTGAGAGCACATCCAGGGCTGTATCTATGAGCTGAAACAATGTTAGATGGATCTTGTCTGAAAGCAAAGAGTATGAGAGGAATGTCTTTCTGGCTTCACTGACTATGCAAAGGCATTTCATTGCATAGATCACAATAAATTGTGGCTGACCTTGAGAAGAAAGCAGAACACTCAACTGTGCTCATACAAAAACTATACTTGGACCTAGAGGCAGTTGTCAGAACAGAGCAAGGAAACACTGCATTGTTCAAAACCAGGAAAGGAGTGTGTCAGGGATGCATCCCATCTCCACACCTTTTAATGCAGGACAGATCATTTGGGAAGCTCAAATTTATGAGGAGGAATGTGGCATCAGGATTGGAGGAAGACTGATCAACCTATGTTATACAGATGGTACAACCTTGCTTGCTGAAACTGAGGAGGACCTTAAGCAATTACTGCAAAAGGTCAAGGACTATAGTCTTCAGTATGGATTGAAACTTAACATCAAGAAGACAAAGATTCTTTCCATTGGGCCATCTGGCAGCAACATGATGGTGAAGAAACTGAGGCTGTTAACAATTTCAGCTTGCTCAGCTCCAAAATCAACACTCTTGGCACCAGCAGTCAGGAAACCAGACAAATTACATTGGGGAAGTCAGCTGTCAGGGACCTCTCCAGAGTGCTAAAGAGCAATGACGTCAGTCTGGAGACTAAGCTGTACAGATCCAGGCCATGGTCTTCATAATCACTTGCTAGACATCAGAGAGCTGGACAATGACTAAGGACAACAGAAAAAAAAATTGATGCCTTTGAATTATAGCTCTGGAGAAGAGCACTGAACATACCATAGACTACCAGGAGAACAAATAGGTCTGTCTTGGAGAGGGCAAAACCAAGTTTTTCCTTGGATGCAAAGATTCTGAAGCTCTGTCTCATATACTTTGGGTATGTGGCCAGGAGGGACCAGTCCTTGGAGAAGGACATCATGGTTGGAAGGGTGGACGGACAGCACAGAAGAGGAAGACCCTGGATGCGATAGATTGACATGGTAACTAGGAAAATGGGATTCAGTATGTTGGCATCAGTGAGACTGGCTCAGGACAGGGCAGGCTTCAGAGCTGTTGTTCTTAGTCACAATTGAAGTGATGGCACACATACAATAACACCATCTCATCTCTGGAATACTGCACAATGTAGCCTATATTTTGGACAGAGCATTTCTTCATTCATGGAATAGATATTTTCTCAAGTTTCTGTGACGTGTAAGGCATATGTGAGGCAAATGAAGCGACTTCTAGTAATGTCTTCCACTCCTTGAAATTCTAATCATTGCCTTGGGAAATCTAGACTTGATGGTTATTAATATCTAGCTGAGAAGTTTCCTTCCCCTTATCATGAAAAAGAGTATGGACTGACAAAAGATCAAACAGGTCTGTCCTGCAGAGAGTGAAAGCAGGTTGTTCCTTAGAGGCAAGGATTTTGTCTCACAGATTTTGAGCACATGGTCAAGAGGGGCCAGCCCTTGGAGAAGGACATTATGCTTGGGAGGGTGGAAGGTCTGTGCAGGAGAGAAGACTCTTGATTAGCTAGATCATCACAGAGACTGTGGCAGTGGGGTCAGGTGTGTCTGAGACGGCGAGGTTTACGCAGGACAGGACAAGATTCAGAACCATTGTTGTAGGGCCACTGAGTCATAGTTGACTCGATGGCACACAACAACCACCTCATGCAATTTTGCCATGGTGCTGTCCTCCACTGCCATGCCCTGGACCTGGACAGCTCTTCCCTATCTCAGCTGATCAGCTCTGAGCACTCAAGAATGTTTCCCCAGGCCCTGCCACTTTCCCACGCTGTCCCAGCTCCATTTATCCTCCACCCAGTTGGGAGCCTGTGGCTGATGGTATCAATGTCGCAGCTGCCTCATTCCTTGTCTTTCCACGGACACACCCAGACAAGGTCCAAAGCCAGGCAAACCCAACTGTTGTCTTCTCTTGTGGGCCAAGGCAGCCAACAAGTGGACAGAAATAGAGCATAACACACAAAGGGATGGACAAGGTCATGGATTCCAATGGTGCCGAAGCACCATCACAAGAAATATGCAGATTGTAGCAGATAGTGGATGTGTATACATACAGTTACATTCCATTATTTTGGGGGAGTGACTTTTAAAAATATTTCCCTGTGTGGGATGTTCACAAAGGATCCCTACAATTATCAATGGAGGGGGGAAAAGGCCTTCAGTCATGACTCACCTTAAGTCTTTCAGCCCTCTCCTCTACACTTACCTAACATAGAAAAAATTTACCCTCTTTCCTGCCTCTGAGGTGTCATCTTCCTCCGCTCACCACCCCTCACCTGTTATGTGCCATCAAACCACTTGTAACTCAAAGCAACGCTTTATACAAGAGCCCTAAACCCTGCTCTGTCCTGTGCCAGTCTCACCGTCTCTGACAAACCTACTCCTGCCACCCCAATCACTGAACTGATTCATCTCATCACGGGTCCTCCTCTCCTGTGCTGTCCTTCCACCCTCCCAAACATGATGTCCCTCTCCAAGGACTTGTCACTCCTTGCAACATGCCCAAAGTACATCAGACGAAGCTTCAGAATCCTT